GTAAAAGGTATTGTTTCTATAATTTCCCTCTCAGTGTGTTTGTTATCTGTGTAGAGGAATGCTATTGGCTTTTGGGTATTGACTTTGTATCCTGCTGTGCTGCTGAATTTGTGTATTATAAGAGTCCTACACTAAGCTGCAAAGGAAGCTGAAAATTTAGGTTTTATCCTCTTTATTAATAAAATACTGGTTATGTTATGTGCTATAAAGCCTTATATTCCTAGGCCTTCTACTTAAATAAACATGACTCCTCTCACCCATGAACAAATGATTGTATACTCATATAGAGGTCTGAACTTTTATAACTCTGCTTATCAAGTTTTAGACAAAATCTGAGTATTGTGTTGCCAACATGTTACTGAAATAAAACACCAAAAGGAATTTTAAAAGTAAAAATATCAACTGTGCCTATAAACGAAATAAATGTTCTTTAAGAAAAGTTTTTTACACATAATGCTTTTCTTTTGTGACACTTAGTTTTATTAGAGTATTTATTTTTCAATAATAGCTAATTTTTGCTATCATCAAGCAATAGATTATTTGATTAGAGAACAGTTAACTAATACCTCATTATGTTATATACAGAAATTACACAGTGAAATTTTCCAGGAAGATTGAGACTTTGTAGGGATCTTAAGCTATAAAAAAAAAAAAAGAGGGACTGTTGTTTTTCAGAAAATAAAATAATATCCCAGTATTTTAGTCTGTTTGGCCTGCTGTAGAACAGATCACTATAGACTGAGTAGCTGAAATAGTAAACACTGATTTCTCAGAGTTCTGAGGCTGAGAAATTTAAGATGACAGTTTAAACTCTCAAATCTTGCCTTTTAAGACTTATAATTCTTGTCCTTAGGAATATGCTTAGAAGAAAACACATTAGGGTAATGAGTATTTAAGTCTGCCTTATGATGACAATTTTTATTTAAAGATAAGCCTACTTAGGGCTGGGAGATAGCTCAGTAGAATAAGCGTTTGCCTGGCAAGCACAGAGTCCTGAGTTCAATCCCCAGCACCGCAAAAAAAAAAAAAAAAAGTTCACCCGTAATGAATAAGGGAATCTTCTGGGGGCCTGGCCCTAGCTCAGTCCTTTAAGTGGCTGCTTCCACAAAGCTGTCAGCCTCAGGTTGCTGGAGTTCGAACCTCACAACTCTCCAGCTGGC